CACACAGTACCGGTAATTTCTCAAACTCTTTGCAAGAGTTTTTAAAACTTTAGTATTATTACTGGACTAAATACAATCGACTCCTCAATCCTGTGCGCCGCGTTGTCGTTTTCGTCCACACTGAGCATTCGCGAACCCATTAACAGCCGGTGCACACGGACGGTGCGCCAACGCAACGTTAAAATACGCAGGTCTCGGAAATACATTGCCGTAAATGGATCAATTTACACGGGACTTGGACGCAGGACGTCGGCGTCCAACGTTCGACGTTAACGCACCGCATTCCTTGTTGCTCGCGCACATGAAGATTCGGAGTGAGCGTGCGCGCATAGCCGTTTACACTTGAGCATTCGCTGTCGATCAGTGCGTGCGTGCTCAGATCTAAACGCACCTTTACATTGAAAATGCAATGGATGGATCATATCGCAGCAGCGAAGAATACACAGCAAAAGTCAATATTTTTCCGTTTGTTGGAAATAGATGGTCCGTCGCTTCTTTTTGGAAAAACATACTCCTTATTATTATTGATTCACACGAACTATACTCAGGCGCGGATTCAGGGGGTGGTCATGGGAGCCTGGTTTTTGCATTTAATAGTACGCACGGGCACGGGACAGGTTGTAATGGGCATTGTAATTTTTTGAAGTAAATTAAACTTGATGATTCACCAGTAAACTTCTTGTGCATAATAGAGTTTAAAAGTTATCGCGGATGCTACCGATAAGTAAAGCGCGTCGAGTCAAACTTGGAGTGCAAGCTATTTATAGAATTTGCATATAATTATAATTGAGAAAAAACAACAAATATGATCGATAGTTGTTGTCATGTTTGCCGTGATTAATATTTCATTGAATACAACTTGGTGAACAACACTAAAATACGCTAAATAACGTGCATTACTGGTTATATACTGGGCACTATTTGCGAAAGTGACATTCTCTACATTTATCGCTATTTGCAAATTAATGACGGCAACTGAGAACAAAAAAATTAGAAAGATCTGCACAAGTAATCGAAACAAGCTCATGGATAGTGCAAAAGGTTTTTTAATAGTAATTTGATGCAAAAAGTTAATCTGATGCTGCTTCAACGTGCCAATAAAACAGCTAATTCAGCTGTTTCAATATTCACGCGGATCTAAAATTTTTCGATAACGTAAAATCCATCTAAATTGTTCAGATAAAATTCGAACTACAGATTTTGCTGGCAATAAGGATGTCACATATTAACAGGGGCTTACAATTGTATGCACAATAGTAGCTGCTGTGCACTGTTACCTCTGTTTTTTTACTATATGTCTATATAACCTGACTCAAGTACAGACTGTCAGATCAAATTTTTTTTATTCAATACAAAAAAACAAAATTATTCTAATTTGAATCCGCGTTTTGCTTTTCGTTCAGCAAAAACTGCCATCGAAGAATCCAAATTGAGTATACTAGCTACTGACCTTTCGATATAGAGGTTAGAGAAGTGTGTCTTTAGCCAAAGAAGCTCGACGGTATTCTTTAATAATTTTCAAAGAGCTCATGACACGTTCAGCACTAGCTGAACCGCTAGGCAAAGTCAAAAACAATCTGAATAAACTGCAGCTCTCTGGAAAACTGTCTACAAAATTGATTGCAATCATGAACGTCAAATAATCTAGCGGGCTGTCATTAGCAAAATTACGATTTTCCGAAAAATACATGCTCGTATAACTAGCTAATTCATATTTTAGATCTGTTGTGAAAAATTACTAATATTTTCCCATCAAATTAGTGATGCTGGTTTCTAAATCGTTTTCTTTTAGATTGACTAATTTCTCTGGCATCAAAAAACCAATCACATCATTCATTTCATGCAATCCTTCAGTACGTTCTTGCAATTCGTTACTCATTGAATCCAAAACTTCGTAATAATTTATTCGATGTTTTTCGTCTGTTTCCAGTGGCGACTCAGCAGCTTTTTTTTATTTTCCTCTTTCTGACAATGGGAAAACCAGGATTTTCCCATTCCATCTCTTCCCATTTATTCTTAGCCTTCAGAACAAAATTATCGTGTGCTTTCGCTCCTCGAATCTTTTAATTTGTTTAATGCTGCTGAAATGCACCTTTGAGCCATCATCAAGTCTATTTCTTTCTTTTCATTTGAACTTGCACGGTATTCATTACGCTCAATACTAAATGGCACCATAACAAATTGAAAAAAAAGGTCCAGTTCATGAAGGAAAGGAGAGATCTTGCACTCATTATATCTTCGCCAGAAACTTCCACTCTTGAAATTTCATCTTCTATGCAATTAATAATACATTCAAAAAATTTCTTCACGATATTACGAAGAAGTAGATATGTCATCAAATAAAAAAATGCACAGTATTGTGAAAGTTTATGGCTATAAGCATTGAAGAGGTGAAAAGACTGCAATAGGCGCATTAGAGTCTTTATTAGAGTAAAAGAGGCTGATTCATACCACGATGATATTTATTTACTGAACATTAGATGGCAGGTAATAATATATCACTGTAAGCACAAAATGAAAAAATAACCCCTCCACTCCTTGAGCAATAAAAGGGTCATTCGGTCATTTTTTTAGAAATGAAATAGTCATTTTTCAAAAAATTTCTCAAGAGAGGAAATTTTTTTATTCAGACTGAATGCTAACGCGCTGTTTCATAAACACTATGCAGATGGCCATTAAAAGAATATAACAACACTCTGATTTCTTGTCATCAATTTTACATTCAGACGCGCTGAACAATATAGACACTAGAGCTGATTTTTGCTGTGGCCACCCTTCCTTGGGGAGCCCAGGCGGCAATGTCCATTTTGTCATTACTTAAATCCGCCACTGTGACGGACAAAACCACAAAAAAGTTGTTGCACTGGATTCAAAGGAGATGGTAAGTATTAATATTTATTAATTTTGTTATTTAACAATAAATTGTTCATTTTTAAATTAGATTTAATATTTTAATCACGTTTAGGCTGTACTAAGGGTAGAAGGGTAGGGCTGTCATCTGCCATCCGTCCGCCAGTGCAGTTTTAATAATAATCAAATTCAAGCGGATAACCAAATGGAAATGGTATTTACCATTTTGGGTTGGTATTTACCAATCCGTTCAAGCGAGTGTAGTTATCAGTTTGGTTATAAGATCCGTGACGTCACGAATCAGCTGTTATATGTCATAGTTATCACCGTAAAATTGTGGTATTTACCCAACTCAAGAGTAGTTTTATATTTCTGGTTATTATTTGAAATGTGACAAGTTAGAATGTTGCCGGGTATTGGATATTATTGTACTTCAGCTTCATTTTTGAGAAAAATGATACAGGCTGACTTCAGTTTTGCCATAAAGTGGAGCACCTTATTATAGTTATACTCATTACGGTTGTTGGGGACACTTTAAATGTAATTCCCATGCTTAACAAAGTATCCTGTGTAGCCATATTCCACAAGAATATTAAAATATGGCCATATAAACTCACTAGATGATATCCACCTGAATACGGTTTTGCTCATTTCTTTTTTCATCATTTCTGCTGAATCAATAAATGTTTTCTTTGACATGCGGAAAAATTTAGAGAATTGAAAGTTATTATAGCTACAAAGCCATGGTTCCATCATTAAACAAAAAATCTGAAAAAACATTTCTCCCATGAATATTATGAAAGGTTTCTTATTTAAACTTTCCATATACAGTTGTAGACGAAAAAGCACCGATTATTAAGTGATAATAAAAATAATCAGACATTATACACGCACTTTCCTAAAATAAACAACTTGCAACAAAACCGCTGTTAAAACCAACGCGTTCAAGCGATTCATGTAACTGACGTCATCAACCCGTGTGTCATCTTGAACCATATTATAACCGCGGCACCTAACACAGAAATTTTGGTTATTCGCTTGAATTTGATTAAACATTTCTGTGTTATGTGCCGCGGTTATAATATAGTTCAAGATGATGATTAATGTTTAATCAAATTCAAGCGAATAACCAAAATTTCTGTGTTATGTGCCGCGGTTATAATATAGTTCAAGATGACACACGGGTTGATGACGTCAGTTACACGAATCGCTTGAACGCGTTGGTTTTAACCGCGGTTTTGTTGCAAGTTGTTTATTTTATAAAAGCGCGTATATAATCTCTGATTATTTTTATTATCGCTTAATAATCGGTGCTTCTTCGTCTACAACGGTGTATGGAAATTTTAAATAAGAAACCTTTCATAATATTCATGGGAGAAATGTTTTTTTTTTTCAGAAAACATTTTTTAATGATGGAACTATGGTTTTGTAGCTATGATAACTTTCAATTCTCTAAAGTTTTTCGCATGTCAAAGAAAACATTTATTGATTTAGCAGAAATGATGAAAAAGCGATGAAAAAAGATATTAGTAAAACCGTATACAAGTGGACATCATCCAGTGAGTTTATATGGCCATATTTTAATATTCTTGTGGTATATGGCTACACAGGATACTTTGTTAAGCATAGGAACTAGATTTAAAGTGCTCCCAACAACAGTAATGAGTATAACTAATAAGGTGCTCCACTGTATGCTAACACTGAAGTCAGCCTGTATCAAGTTTCCCAAAAATGAAGCTGAATCCAATATCCTATACCCGGCAAAATTCTAACTTGTACACATTTCAAATAATAACCAGAAATATAAAACTCTACTCCTGAGTTGGGTAAATTCCACAATATTGCGGTGATAACTATGACAGATAACAGCTGATTCATGACGTCACGTATCTTATAACCAAACTGATAACCACACTCGCTTGAACGGATCGGTAAATACCAACCCAAAATGGTAAATACCATTTTCATTTGGTTATCCGCTTGAATTTGATTTTTATGTCAGAGGCACTGATGCGATTTTCCCGCCAAAATGGCGGCCGATTTTAACACCGACAGGAGAGTTTCATAGCTAATTGTTATCTAAGCTGTGTACTGTGTAGGTACTATGTCTGCTGACACCTGTGGTATACATATATTTTCTGAATACCTACCTTGTTTGTTCCGTTAAACTTATACTTTCTTTGTATCTGGAATTACGATTTTCATTATATAAAATACATAATACTATAAGCTAAATACGACGGATAAATGAATACTTCTCACCTGGTACGACTAGTTTCTGATGCGTGTATCTCTTTTTTATTCATTTTTGTTTTTGGTATATCACAATACATACACACTTTCACTGCCAGAATGTTTCTTATTACTAAATATATAGATTTGTTATCGAAATTATTATCTATTATCCATGAGTGATAATACAAATTGATAAAAGATAATAATAAATTCTGCTTGTATTGAAATGACAGTTATTCGCGTATTAGTGTACGTCGTGTTTGTGTAGACAACCAATCATACACGGAATATTAAACCATTTTCTTAGATAACCATTTTAAATAAACGTATAATATTGAAGAATCAATTATATTTCATAAAAAAGGAATCCGTAAGTGTAAAAAGGGCTTTACTTAAATAGACATAAGAAATATTGACGAATGGGAATAGTAGGTTTTTAAGCGGGAAAAATGACGTTTAATGAATGACAGACGTTAACTGTCGCCGAAAAAGTGTAGACGATTGTTTTTATCAAAGGGAGACAAATTAAAAAGAACTTTGCATATTTGAGTTCAATAAATGTAAGTAGATTATCAAGATCGACCACAAATTTATCTATAAGTGAATTTCGTTCCATGTGTGCCCTAGGTTTGAAGAAAACCGTGTCTTTTCAATCGCCGAAGATCATTGGATTTTTCTACTTACTACAGTTGCTATTCAGGTAGGAATACTTTTAAATTAATTATTAAGGATAAAAGTACAAGATAGAAGTCTAGGTAACTTCTCAAACACTTTTCATTTGCTGGGTTTCAGAAATAATTTCTATGAGCCTTCAAGATAAACAATACATACGGCACCTAACCTCTCAAATGATGTCCAAAAGCCTCCTAACAAATTAGACGAAAGAAATGTTAAAATGAATCGGACATACCCATCTCACGTATCTGTAAAAAAACACCAAGAGTCGCCAAAAACTGACCAACATTTGCAAAACAGGGAAGAGGAAATAACTAATAAACAAACAATAGGGCTTATTTCAAAATTCACCAGAGGAAAACAGTCATTATCTTTACAGATGTTTCAAGAACAACAGTTACCTAATAGTACCACAGATTCAAGACAATTGGAAAAGAGTACATCTTCAAACAAAAATGAATATATCAATGGTAAAACTGACCCCCTAGCAATTCATCATGTCAGTGTATTCTCACAAACACAAAAAGACTTCACCAGCAGAAGCTCTAAAATAAAATATAAACATGTTAAGACATCCAGTGGTTTCAAGTCCTATTCACCAAAGTTTTCATATAGCAATGGTTTGCTCAAATCTACTGTAGAAGTCAGAGATGCTCTTGCAAATACCAGTATTTCACACCAACCTGAAACTTGTAAACTCTCTAACTTACCAGAGTCAAAATTGACATATGGAAGAAAAGTACATGAGCAACAAAACTTGTATAGTTTGAATGAAACTGTACAGGGTAGACATGATATTTTAGATGTACCAGTTGAAAATCCTTTAGATGTCACAATGGCAGAACCACCAGAATTTGATGTTTCGATTGTAAATGACCATATTTTAGATGAAGATATTAGGCATGTACCTTTAGGTATCACTACGAATATTAAAGGAGTTGAGGCAGATATTGAAGCCTCTGAATGGTGTACTACCAGTGAAGAGTTTTATCCTCCAGCAGAATGTACCAGTGTCGATAGCAAAGAAAATCCCAATTTTGTCATAGATATAAAAAAGGTTATAAAACCTGTAGGAAATGTAAAAATTGTTTGTGGCAATAGATTAACTGTAGCAGATTTAAGTTCACACAGTATTGATGAGAGCAGTATGTTGTTTGAAGATCTGGAAATTGAAATAATGGACACATCTTATTCTGTAAATAATAAATCTTCTGTACATGTGGATGAGATAACAATTCTTGAAGATACCAATAATAGTAATGACCATGACAAAATATCTACATCACCTCTAGTCTCAAGAAAGTCAACATTGAGATCGAGTGTATCACAATTAAAGAAAAATGATACAGTATCGCCTATATCTGTGGATGATTTATCAATTTTAGAAAAAGCTAATTACAAGAAAAAATCTCAACAATCAGCTTTAAGTATTATCAGTGAAATATCATCGTTGTCAGGCATTAAAAGAGAAAATGATAACTCACTGTTAACTTCAAATTCAAGTAGTCATAGAAGTTCTGTCTTAGCACCAGAAAAATCAGCTTCCAGGACAAATCAAAATGAAACACTAGAAGATATGAAACAGTGTTACTCTGTTGATATCACTAGTACATTTGAAACTCCAACAATTAGCCCTGAAAGGTCATCACTGATATCCACATTTGGTAAAAAAGATACTTCTTTGATCCTAACGCCAAGTTTAACAACCAGGCCAACCAGGAAACTAAGATCAAGTATGAGGCAGAATCAAGATTCACAAGTCTTTCCTCAGAATCATAATGAAACAGCTGTAACCTTAGATCATAGTAGTCCCAATAGCAGCAGTCAGTCCCAACATTTTGTATCTCAATCTAATAATAAAAAGACTCTATCACCATTTGAGGATAAGCCATTGTTGCAAGTATCAACCTTAAATAAGCATATAAGGAAATTTACACTGAGATCTGGAAGCTCAGCTATGAATAAAAGTGGAAAGTTGGAAGTCAATGTTGTAAACTTATGTTTTAGCAGTGATAATTATATGAACTGCAGTAATACCAAAGAAATTGTAGAGCCAGAGGGATTACCAAAACAGTGTACTACCTCATTGCCATTAGATAATAGTTACTTATACCAACACCAAGCACAAATATTCATACTAGGAAGTCCACTTTGCGGCCAAGAAGATCAGTGATTCACCAGATTGGAGATGAAGGCAAAATTGTAAATATACATTGTTCTTATAATGGAGATAGTGCCACATCTGTAGTTTTAGATAATATCACTAGCCCTAATGAATGTACTCAATTAGAAGCATTATCTACATCCTGTGCTACTTCAAATTGTAACATGAGAAGTTCATTAGCAGTGAAGGATGTCTCACTGTCACTTATTCCAAGCTCAAATACAAATACCAGAAAATCCACACTGAGATCAAAATGCTCAGCAATATATCAGAGTGAAGCTCAAGAAGCCAGTCATACTGGAAATGATGATAAATCTTTAGCTCTAAATAATACAACTTGTGTAAAGAGTACCAATGAAGACATTGCATCTGGATTATTATCTACACCCTGTGATTCTTCTTTACCTTTAGAAGATGGTATGAACCCCAGCAACATTAGTAATAGCACAGAACTTGATCAAGAAGATAATGGCATGGATGATATCTTATTCTTAACACCAAGATCATATAAAAAGAGCAGGAGATCTGCACAACGATCACAAAGAAAAAATTTAGAAATTCTAGACACAAAAATCGTCAACATCCATTCTGGTGATGACAGTGATACTTCCTTACCTTTTGAAGATGTTATGAGTTCCAGCAACATTGGTAAAGGTGCAGAACTTGATCAAAAAGATAATGGCAAAGGTGATTTATTATTTTTACCATCAGGCTCGAATAAAAACGCCAGAAAATCTACAATGAGGTCACAAAGAAACAAGAATGAAGATCTAGACACAAAAATTGTGAACACCTTCTCTGGTGGAGACATTGATGTATCTTTAATTTTAGAGAATATTATGAGTCCCATAAACAGTAGTAAAAGCAGAGATCTTAATCAAAAAGATAATGGCACTAGGAAATCTGCACTGAGATCACAAAACAATAAGAATATACATCTGGACACAAAAATCGTGAACATGAACTCTGACGATGTTACTGATACATCTTTGACTTTAGGGGATGTAATAAGTCCAAGAAACATTAATAAAAATATAGAACTTGTTCAAAAAGGTAATGGGAAAGAAGATTATTTATTGTTAACACCTAGCTTAAGTACAAGTACTAGAAAATCTACGCTGAGATCGGGAAGAAAACATGATGAAGATTTATACAAGATCGTGAACGCCCGCTCTGGTGATGACACTGATAAATCTTTGACATTAGAAGGTACTAAGACTCCCAATAGCAGTAGTCAAACCACAGAACCTGACCAAAAAGATGATAAAGTTGATTTTTTGTCTGTAACACCATGCTCAAACACTGATACCAGGAAATCTACATTGAGATCACAAAAAAACTTGAATGAATATCTAGGCACAAAAATCGTCAATACCCATTCTGCTGATGACACTGATGAATGTCTAGCTTTAGAGGATAATATTAGTAAAAACATAGAACTCAATCAAAAAGATAATGAAAATGTAGAAGGAGCTCTCAATGATTCCTTGACCTTCCATCAGATTACAATAAGAGCACCAGAAAATCGTCTATGAGATCTAGAAGCTTGGAAGTGAGGAACAGCTGCAATGATAATGAGCCTAAAAATAATGATCTGTCAAAAATAATTATTACTAGGTCATTATCTCAAATCGATCATGGAAATAGCTCATCAAAAGAAAATATTTTAAATTCGATAAGTGAACATAAACACTCAGGTGCTTTAGTCATAGAAAAAAATGATGGCAAATTTCAGCAGTCCATTAAAAATAAAATTCTGAAAGTAGTTGTTGTGCCTATGAAAAACCTAACACTTGATGGAAGAGCTCATGGTAAAACGATAAAACATAATATTGAACCATCCAGCCACCTTAGTGATCACAGAACTACTAAAAATAACCTGATAGAGCTAGAACCACATAATGGTATTGAAAGAAATACTCAAAGTAATGATGTGGTGCAAAACTGTAATTCAGATAGCATTGTATCCCAGAACCAAGAACTTGTGTCCCTAGATAAACCATTTGTACAAAATGACATTCCTAATGTTAGTGCTAATGAATCACTACCAAGGAAGGCTAATCGAAAGAAGACTGATGACAAGTCTTCCTTTGAATTTGTAAGTCCTAGGCTACAAGCTAAACAATTACAGCAGATGGGATTGATAACAGAAGATACAAGCTTTGCATTCTACTCAGCAGTAGACTCTGTTTTGGCAGAAATAAAAGTTTCACAGAAACAGCATAAGTTGAACAGTCAGGAAAGGACAGAGTATACTGAAAAAACTGAGGAGATCATAGAAAATGGTCATAAAGTAGATATTACTGAAGAAACTAAGCCAGTCGATGTTAGCACTGTTAGTTATGCTACTGCAACTCGGACTGAAAATTTAATGAAGTCATCAAATGACCAAAATGATGATGAACATGAAGACACAGGAATAACGAAAAACAAAAAAAGCAGGATATCCTTTCAGAGTACATCTGTCGGCTCAAGGAACAGTGATGCTTCAAATACTGAACAAAGTCTTGAGGAACTGATAGTTGATCGTCAACAATTTTGCAAGGACAATGGTGCTGTTGTAACTCAAAATTCAGGTATTCATGAAACTACTTTAGACATAACTGCTAGTAATAAATTGACTACATCGGAAATTGCCGCAAAAAGTGCACAGACATCAGTAGGGGGCATTTTAGTGCATTTATCGAATGAACGTAAAGATGTGGAAGGTTTAAATGTTCATTGTACAAGTCATATCAGTTTGGCAGATAAACTTGATGAATTGAAATGTGATACTGGAAACTTAAACTTTGGAGAAAATATGCCACCCATACAAAGAAGAGATAGACCAAGAAAGCTGTGTGAAGACACTATATTAAAGGAGCAGAGAGCAGAAGAAAGTTCTTTAGTTGTCATGGATAGTTTTTCACGAACAAAGAGAAAAGGAAGTACAAGAATATCTATAGGATCAATGGAAAATAGTATAGTATCTATTAAGAAAAATTTATCACAGGTCCATAGCAATATAGGAGTTACAGAAAATAGTAAAATCAAGAGAGGAAAAGGTAGGCCCAGAAAGTCTAAAAATTCCAGTTTACTGAAGGAAACTATTGTTTCACTGGCAGAAAACACAATAACTGTAAATAAAGAAAGTAAAACATATGATGCTCCATTAGAATGTCGAGATATTATCAATGAAACACTGGAAGTCATACAGAGATCTGCTTCAAGAAACTTTTCACCAGAAACAAGAATAACTAGATCAAGATCTCAAGAGTTGGTAGAAATGCATGATCCTGTGCCCAATAGCACTAATCACTATCTACTTTCACCAGAATATTCCATAGTTCATGGTGAAAACAGTTTTGAACATAAATTATTACAAATTTCAGAAAGCAGTAGTACGTCCTCCAAAGCAAATACATCTGTAAGATTAACAGAAATCCAAAGAAAAAGTGTTGGTGATGATCAGAAGACGCAACAATCTGAATCTGGAATGCATACAAAAAGAGGAGGAATGACTTACAGTTACGAATTGACATCCAAAAGTAATGCTAATCTTGATAGACTTCAAACTGACAGTGAACTGGATATTTCAGCTGTAGTACCTGTAATGAATAAAACGTCTACTAAAGTAAGCCCAGACTCAGTGGAACTAGAGAAAAACAATAAACAAATAGGGTACCATAAGGAAAGGTTTGACTTAGACATGGACTATGATAATAAGACAAAATCTATAGAAAAATGGGTGAAGGATCACGTAGAATTAGTTAATGCAGTAAGCAAAAGCTTTGAGCCTAACCATTACAGTGAAACAAATTTTGTCACAAATCATCGGATACCCAAAGAAAAGACACAAACCAGAAAAGAATCGGTTCCAAGAAGGTCTTTAACACGTGGACGAAAATTAGTTGCTATGCTTGAAGATGATAACAAGGAAAGTATGACAAAAGAGACCAAAATTGAAGATATTAGAGACAATTGTCATGAAGCAGCTCTTCAGAATACTATTCCTCAGAACGAGGAAGAGAGTGATCAGATCAGACGTTTGGCACGAAGTAACAACTCTATGTTGGAGCAACAAACATTGTTGGAAAATAAAGTACAAAATGACAGGAAAGACTTTGCAGAGGTTTCTGAATGTACTAAATCTAATCCTCGGATTGACGAAAAGAGCGACCAGATCCGACGTTCGACACGGGGCAGTAACTCAATAGAGCAACAAAGATTGATGGAAGATTATGCACAAGATGCAAATCAAAATAATAAGCTAGAAAACAAGCAACTGGTTAATCGCCCTGAGAATAGTCATGACACAGATACTGAAAACAACGGAAACGACGCCGAAGCAAAATCAGGAGATAGTTTGGACGAAACTAAAACTCGATCTAGAATGATGGGTTACCGGACGACTACTTCTATACTGCTTGATCGAGAAATGTCACCAGAAGATACTACTGAATATACAAGGAGACTTTCAAGTGCGTCAGATGATGGCCAAAGTGGACCAGAAGCTAATGGAAGTAACAAAATTGCACCCGAGCAACGTCGTAGGCCCGCAACAAGTATGAGAAAGAAGGGTAAAAAATGTATAAGTGCTAGTTGGTCATCAAGGAGAAGTAGAAGCAAAAGTGTTTGTCCATCAGGTAGTGGTAAGTCTTATCTACAACTTTTGTAATCTATAAAGTCGAATAGAAAGTAGCTAAATTCTTCACAATTTCACAAAGATTTGAAAAAATTGAAAATTTTACTATTGATAAGAGTCGTTCCAGATCGTTTTTATATTTTCTCAAATGACTTGTCATTTTTGAGAATTGCTACCCGCCGCTCGTCAAAAAGGTTTGGGCAGGTAGATTATCACAAGAAGATATCTTTGCTGATGAGAAAAATCTTGTGATCGCGCATGTCGGTAGAGCAATATTCGAATAATAAATTTTTTGTTTTAGATATGAAGTCCTTTAAACATGGCGATCTTACTTGGGCACAGATTGGATCATATCCTTATTGGCCTTGCATGGTTAGATGTGCTCCTAATACCACAGAAGTAACGAAAATATGTAAGTAATAAATGTATATGACACAAATTATTTATTTTACAGCAATCTGGATTTTTAAACGATAATCGGCATCCTTATTATATAAAACTGCAGTGTGTTGCTTACTTTGAGGTATTTTTATTTTACTTACACCCATGACACTGTGTCCTCCTGCTGACCCCTTATTGAACCTTTTTCGGCTCATGGGCAGTATACATATACAGTAATCGTAGAGCAGAATATCTAGAATTTGAGGGAAACATTTTAATAATCCGTTTTAACACGGAATTATGTTTTTGAGGGAAAAAGGCCCATCAAACGTCAAAGTGGAAAAATAAGTTTTACGCGAATCTTCATTATGACTTGTTAGCGTAAGTGGTCCAAGAAAGCTGTAGGATGTGAAAATACCTTCAAATAACACTTTGCAAGACCAATTTGCTGTAACGGTTGATTTGTTTTTACACAATAACGTCAAAAATCATCGATTTCTACATTTGTTTTTTTTACTGGAAAATGCATAACGGTAATAAATTTCATTCAAATATGCTCAACCGTCTCTACAAATATCTAATTGCTACCAATTTGTTGAGAAAAATGGCCTTGTTTGATGAGCTGTCCAGAGACTTTGGATGAGTCAAATTGCCTCATATTTGTCTCATTTTCTTTCTAGAGACTTATTTTAATATGGTATTAAAAGAGATACCAGATTTTCTTATACCTTGTAAAAAAAGCGTCGCTAGTAGTACATTCATTTTTGTCTTTTATAAAAAGTCCGTCGTTTTTTGACAGTCGTAATTAGAATGCTTGCCAAGCATGAGAAAAACAGCCAGCCCTGTGAACAGGGAGCTCTCGTATCCTCTACTGGACAATAGGGCAACTACTTCACACACCGTCACCGCGGCGCAGCTTGTTCTGTTAGTTGTCGCGTCCAGTAGAGTGCGTGACATCATCCTGTTAGCAGTAAGTAAATTGATTATTTACTCGATGTTTGTTCAAGAATACGCATTCTGTAATTTTATTTGTGTTTCCAAAGAATTTATTGAGCAGAATTTTGTACAGGAACAGCAAGACACTGTTTTTTCAATAAAATGCTCAGTAATGGCGTCATGTCAATCTATTGCAAACGGTTTGATCCACATGTCGAGTAGGACACAAATCCTTTTTGATTGATGGAATTTGGTCAACTTTTGTGTCCGGGCACAAATGAAAAATAGATTTTTGGAGCTGAATCATGTGATATATGACGTATTTCTTGATTTAACATGATAATTAGGATCCCATTTTACAGAAATCGTATAATTTTTCTCTAGCTTGAGAGGCATTTTACAAGAAATAAACTAAATTCATTAGATCCATTACTTTACAGATGCCTTCTTATTGGTCCAATTTGTGTCAAACGCACAAATTTTGATTCCCGCCGGTCAATAGTAAAATTGGGCCTAAGGGTCGCAATTCAATCCACGTATAAATGAAGATTTTCTCTATCAAACTACCTGTTCAAATCTATAACGTCTCATATTGCGACTACATACAGCCTACAAAGGTGGTACATTTCACAGCTAATTCAAATGACGTAATGATTTTTCGGAGTCGTAGCTTATGTTTAATTTTCTCATGCAATAATTTTTATCGTAATATAAGTATTTCTTGAAACCTGAAAACATCACCCACAATTTTAGCGTATGCACAGAGTAATTCTAATTTATTCATAAGCAGTGCTGAAAGGTTGCTTGTTATGGCGCACAAATTCATCTAGTTTTTTTTAAAGCCATTCTGTCAGCCTTTTCTGCCTGGAGTGTGAGATTTTCCTGAAGCGACATACTCAACTCGCTAAAACCCCTCAATCGGGTGCCATGCACCCCATTAAGGTAATGCTTGCAGCATTTCTTCATAGTGGCTAAACCTGTCTGCCAGTTTGTACTCGTAAATGGACACAAGTACAAAACACCGTTCAGCCCTTGTAGGTTTTATATTTTTTTTTCTGCCCCCAAAGGTCCAAAAAAGTTCCTTTTCTCCCCCTGTACTTTTCATCAGCTTTTCAGAGGTGAGGATTCTAATTACGACTGTCAAAAAGTGGCAAACTTATTCTGAATGTTTGAAAGGCAAACATAGATGTACCCTTGGCGGTGCTTGTTAGATCTGAAATAACGAATAGACGTTCACAAGTTTTCTGCGATTATGAAGATATTTTGTGGAATAAAGAATCTCATCTATTTTTAGTACATTTTCCTCGAGCAAATAGTACAAGGGCGTATTATGACATGGTCAGGTGTAATGGCTTCCATAGCCGACCAATAGTAAACCTACCAGAACTTAAGAAAGTTGATTCAGATGCGTATTCCAAGGCCCTAATTTTAAAGATACGAAATCAAGATTAATTTGATATTCATTCAACTCAGTTGACTCATGTATACAAACTTCATTCTTCTATAATTGCGTTGGAATTGCAGAGTCAACATACTTGACACCATTTTTTACTTCCCTCGCCTACTGGCGAGGAAGTATTATAATCGCGAATATTTTCGAAATTGAGATATTATGTTTTTTGGATGTTATATGGCATGTATATCACAAAAACCATGTCAATCTTTTCCGTCGATCTGCTTACCTGTAGGTCTGTCCGCTAATCTTATAACCGCCTATAACGTGAGAAGTACCGCTCGTATTTCGATGAAATTTTAACTCAATGTTACTGCTGTGCCACGCAAAATCGGTCCAGTAGCGGCAGAGAAAAATGTCAAAAATGAATAAGAATAAAAATCGCTCAAACTTCGTTTTTTGACGTTTTGAGGATCCTGATTATTTATGGCAAAAAACTTAGAGGTAAAAGCTTTGATTGTGGGGGTGGGAAGGGTTTATTTCAATTTTTTGATATTAGTACATTTATACGCTCCCATCTTGATAATTCTACTCACCTATTAGACACATTTCACACCAGATGGATTTCTCTGTACATGAGCTGTTGAAACTAGCAAAATATTCTCAACAGACGGATCGCGTGCCTACCGGCGGCGGCTGCTGCATCCGACCTTGGTCAGTGTTCTATTGATCTGTTATGCTATTACACGTATTTCTACTTAGTGCTTCTTATGCTTTGACCGCGCTGCCACGTCTGACCGACTTAGATATCAGAAGAGGCGATGTTTCCAGATGCACTATCGGTAGGGCAGGGAAAGGATGTTTATGGACTAATTGTATGGACCTCTTTTAGAGGGTCTGGTTTGTGCTTAACCTAAACCCTTATGATCTGATAACGGCATTGCGTGGAAAGTGCAGAGTCAACCTACTTGACGCCATTTTTTACGTTATAGGAATGGTGGTGTTACTTTTCATTTCTTATAACAGTTTTAGTAATATTTTGCAAAAATAAATCTATTTCTATTTTCAGATTATATAGGCAGAGGAATTAGAACTGCTTATCACGTTCAATTTTTTGGGGACCAAGGAAGAAGGGCATGGATAAATGTTACAAGGATAATGCCATTTAACAGTTCCAATGATCTGAAGGATATGGTCGAGCGCCTTGCTGCTGAGGAGGTAGGCTTTTATTCTAGTCAAATTAATTAACTTAACTATTCGGCATTAGTTTAATTATTGTGTATGTTAGAAGTAGATTTTGAGATATTTCAGGTAAAAGTGTTTTTAAACATGTTATCTGAAGAAATTAATTGTCATATTATGCTTGTATGAACCTTTTTCATGCAAGCTCCTAGAGAATCATAAAGTTGTATCCTTTTGGCTCGATGACTCAAGAAATTCTATGTACGGTAAAGAGAGTTCACTCAGCTGGGGACAAAAATAATGGAACAAAGATAGTTGACTAGCAAGAACCAGATTATTTTTTCATCTCCTCAACATTGTATTTTTGTTTCAGTAATGATATAACAATCGTAATTCTAGATCTAATATACCTAACTATGTTGTATTTGGGCGTTTAAACATAAATTCCATCGTCACAGCTATGTTGCTAAGTAGTATCGCAGTAATTGTTTTTTCTTGAACATGACATCGACCTTCTAAGGAAAGATCACCCATCAACCTCCCTTGTAATGGTCCTTAAGGTTTTGTATTCGCAGTATTTCTCATCGACGTGGAAGTAACGCAAGTGCATAAAGACTGTCAACACGAGTATAGTCGTAAATCAGAAGTAAGTGGGCATCAATAATATCCCCGTTTTCACGCAGGTACGGCTTTCAATTGAATTGCTTATGTTATGGTGGAATATGTTAATCAGTGATATATAGAATATATACATTTTCAGAGTTGTCCAACCTTGTAGGAATCCTCTGTAATTGTAATAGTAGATTTATTGTAGCCAAAAGCCCAGGCATCGTCAAGCCATTATTATAAAAGATGTAACATGCTCTCCGTGCATTTATGTTTTTTATGCAGTTATTTATAAAAAACCTCGTCCTCTAGGGTATCTGCGTAATGCAGTCCGTTATGGTAATTTTCTATAGTAATTTGTCACATTATTTTACTTCTCACGCCAGCTGGGGAGAAAATACTGTAAGTGCGAAAAATTCTGAAATTGAGATATGTTTTTTTAATGTTACATGACTTAGATCACAAAAAGCTTTGTCATCCAGTTCCGTCGGTCTGGCTGTCTGTCGATCCGCTTGACCCATCTATAATTTGGAAAGTACGGCTTGGGGCTTCATGAAACTTTTGCATAAGGTTACTACTATGCCAAAAACGAAGAAGCTTTGTAGTTTTTGAAAGTTGATCCAGTGGCGGCGGAACGAGGGACAAAAAATGAAAAAGAATTGCTCAAACTTTATTTTTTGACATTTTAGAGGTTTATGATCATTTTCAGAAATTTTTTTGGAGGAGTTAAAAATCGGTCGTGTGCAGTTGTAATGCGTGGGTTAGAGTATAGCTCATTTTTTTGCAGTAGTCTATTCATACGCTTCGGTTAATTCTACGCACCTGTTAGTCCATCCGAGCCCTGTCTCAGTGAAGTTGGCATAATGCCCTAAAACATGATATTTGTTAATTTATTTGAGGGCTAAATAAAATTTTATCAATATATATTTTTTGTTTCTTTGTTTATGGAAAGATAACAAAACCGACGCGACTATTTTAGAAGCGTTTTTATTTCGAAATCCTCTTTGAAAAATGATTTGTGTATAGCAACATACATGATGGAGACAACTTAAGCACAGATTATACAGATACGACACCTGCTGTAGGTCCCTTTGATCTTCCTGTCCCTGACTGCTTACCACATTTTCCGCTTATGTTCAAGAGCGTCCAGAGGATTTTTTTCCTAAAGGTTGTTACGCTTTATTAGCCTGACGTCCGAATGTCATACGTCAAACAACAGAATCAAGAAATTTATTTGTGTTTATCATTTACCCACATGCCTTTTGGCGAGATAATTATTATTATTTCTTGAAAAGCTTTTTATGTTGAATATAACAAAAACCAAAACTGAATGTTTTTGATAACCTCTAAATCCTAAATGTCAAACTAACACGAATCCCACCAAACTCATAGGACTCAAATTGGCGTTAATAGAACCTGATTTTTGACAGAGGGTCGCTTCTGGTAGTACTCTGTGACTTAAGTTGAATGGTCTGTTTATTCGCTTCGATAAAATAAAGGTAGGCTTTGTAAAACAAATGATGACATTTTACGTCGCTAAGAAGCTGATTTTTGACGTTTAAATCGACTTTCAATGCGTTGGTGTTAACAACTAAAAATGGCTCGTGGTAAAGTTTAACGGAAAGTGATAATTCACTTGCATTTAAATGGCCAAAAGCTTCCCAAATCGCTGACAGTGTCAACAAATCAAGGTATATAGTTCGAAATATTATTAACTTGTACAAAACAGCGGGGTCTGTGGCTCAAAAATCCAGAACTGGAAGTCGCCTGGGTTATTGCAATACCAACTTAAGAGTCTTAAAACGGTTTATCAGGGGAAATCGGCCTGCTAATTATAATGAATGAAGATATGGAATCAGACAACGACAAACAAGTTTTCAAGAGTAACTTTTCACAGAGCTGCCTAAAAACTGGGATATAAAACTTACAAGGTAGGCTTAAATTATTTTATTATTGTTTTTAATTCAGTATTTCTAGGCAAAAAACAGAATAGCATGGGCCAAAGAACACAAATTATGATTTCCAAACCAATGAAACTCTATTGTTTGGAGTGATGAAGCCAGGTTTGAAGTATGCGTTGATGATAGCAGTAGTCGTGTCATAAGAACTAAAGAAGAAGTGTTTCAGAATGTCTTAAAAAAAGTTAAGTTTCCGGCTTCTGTTATAATTTGGAGATCCATGTCAGCAAGTGGAGTGGGAAACTTACACTTTGTGGAATGAATGCTGATAAGTACATTAATATGTTTCAAAATAACTTAATACCCCAAAATGCGTTTAAACAATATTGAATGTATCTTCCAACAAGGTGATGGCGCTTTCCATACAGCTAAAAAATTGTTAGAAAACAATATTTCAATTTTAAAATGGACGTCGAGTAGTCCTGATCTATCGACGATTGAAATCTTGTGACATATCACGAAGAAAAAGCTCCGATCGAATCCCGAAAGAACCGTTCCAGAATTGCAAACCCTTCTCCAAGAAATTTGGAACACTTTTACGCCAGATGTCTGCCAAACATTAGTTGACACTATGTCAAGACGTATCGAAGCAGTAATCAGTCGAAAAGGCGATGTAATGCAGTGGTGATTTGCTGCTATTTGGTTTCGTTGATTTTTGTTAATCGGCAGTTTTTTTTAATTTGTAATATACTTTTTCTTTGTTACAAAAAAAATGTATTTTAGGCTAATATTAAATAAAAAATATCGTATGTTACCAGAAATACATTTTAGTTATTAATACTTTTCCGCTAATATGACAAATCTCATAAAAAAAGTAGTTTGATAGTTGGGCCAACTGCACTGAGACAGAGCTTGTATATCATACATGATAGATTTTCCTGTACATGTGCTCTTAAAACTTAGAGAAATATCACTTTCGTGTCGCGTCTAGGTCGCACTTGTCACACACTGCGAACTTACACCAGTGTGCTCAAAATCATGTCTTCGCCTGCCGCTGCCGCCCAATCCCAACCGCCACACTGCTCCAGCTGGTAGTCGGAACTTTTATTAAGGGCTGAGCATAAATATCTAGATCGCAGCATTATCAAATTGGTTGGGACTAAGGACTAATTGTATAGGCCTATTTAGCTCACGTGATACATTTAATATTTTTTTTGTTATACAGTTGACTTTTTTCTTATAATAAAAACCTTTGTGAACTATTGACAGTGGGAAGTGAAGTGACAACCTGCTCGACGCTTTTTTGTGCTCTACAGAAATACAGATTAAGTAGAAATTTCGGGGCACCCTATAGTTGAATGCTAGTTCTATATACCTTACCAGACCCACTCTGTAACGAATTTTGATAAAAGATCTGTGCTTGCATGCGTACAAGGTTCAACTGTCGTAAGAACTCAAGCCAACTGACCATGCGCAGCGCCGTGAATTCGTTGATTGGGCGCTGTAGCACCAGCAAATTGATGCGGAAGAAAATCATTTTCTATGTTGAGGCACATTTTCAACTGAACGGGTACGTCAAAAAGCAGAACTGCCAAATTTGGGGTTCTGAAAACCCTCGTGTAAGAATCGAACAACCAATTCATCCGCCGCGAGTTACCGTTAGGTGCGCGTTATAGAGTAGCGGAGTGATTGAACCGTATTTCTTCGAAAATGCAGCTGGAACTGCGGTAACTGTTAATGGTGTGCGGTATCGCGAAATGTTAACCGAGTTTTTGTGGTCCCAATTGGATTGAATTGATGTGGAGGATAAGTTCTTCCATCAAGACTGTGCGACCTGCCACACAGCACGCGAAATAATGGTGTTACTGCGGCCAAGTTTCCAGACCATGTCATCTCTCGGCTTGGCGATCAAAATTGGCCACCAAGATTGTACGATCTAACGCCAATGGACTCCTTCCTCAGGGGCTGTGTGAAGGAAAAGGTGTATGCGAACAAGCAACAAACAGTTAAAGAAAAGGTACGGCGCGTTATCCATGAAATAGGGCCACAGTTGTGCGAAAACGTTATCCAGAATTTTAAGAAAAGACTGACCCTGTGCCCGAGATTTCTTGATGGCCATTTACCGGATGTTCTATTTCATGTTTAATCGCAACTATTCCTCTTCATATTGAAATAGAAATACTGGCTTAATTCGAAAAGAAATAGTCAGGAAAAATTAAAACGATTTTGAGAAAAATCGGGTTTTTCCGTCTCTCTCCGCAAGCACTTTGAATTTCTAAAACTTGCTAGGCAGCATCTTATTAATTACCTAAATACGCAACTTTGCTCCCATTTAAGCGACTTCGTATCTCTGACAGTTTCCGGGATCCCAGTGGTGAGTGTCGAATGTGAAACACCCTGTATAGATATTATTTTAATATTAATGTTTTGAAATACAATACATAATTAACTTAATCGCTTTATTGCAATTAAATATAATAATTTTATTGCTTACAAAATTGATATTTTCTTTAATATACATGATAATGCCGTCGTTTTATAATTTCCAAAATTATTTATTTTACATTCCTGTATGGTAAATAATGAGGTGTCTTATGTTCCATTTTTCTCTTAAAATACTTACATAAAAGTCAGATTTTGTTTGTTTTAAAATAATATTTACTTCATCAATATTTTTAGTTAGGGTTCTGCTATTAGTTTGAAAAAATTTCAAACTTTCAAATGAGGTACCAAAGATTATTCAGGAGGGGTTGAGTTGTAATTATGTCTCTACTACTAAATTATCTTATATAGTCCATCTGATAATTTTCTCTTGAAATTCAGTTTTGAGACTATGTAGGTTTTCGAAATATGCATTATACATACTGGACAATTTCTGTCCATGGCCAAATCATCCGAGGAATATGTTTTTTATATGTGGCATTTGAATACACACAATTCAACAAAAGTTACTATTATGATCTTTTCCACATTTGACACATGTTCTATGATTTTCTGAGTTGGGTGATTGTTCTCAAATACATACAGGGTGGTCCATAAGTCCTTTGAAATTTCAAATTTGAATAAAATTTAACGGGTGAGCGTGAGCGGCGCGGGCAAGGTGGGGGCAGTATCTTCAGTGTCTGGGAATTCAGTCGCCATGGAGTGTTTCACTGGAGCGGATCGTGCTTTTTGTGTGCGCGCGTTTTATCAAAATAATGTTTCGGCAACCTTTGCGCGGCGTAAATATCGAGAATACCACAATTTTACAAAGTGTCCAACAGCTCAAACGATTAAGAACTGGGTTGCTAAGTTCGAAGAGACAGGTTCGACGTTAGATAAACAGCGGTGGGGTCGACCAAGGACAACTCGTATTGAAGAAAACATCAACATTGTGGCACAGTCTGTTCGTCAAAATTCCAGTCTACTCGTAAGCGTTCCAGTGCACTAAACGTACCCAGAACATCTTTACAGCTGATTTTAAGGAAAGATTTACGTCTGCACGCTTACAAAATTCAGTTAGTGCAGGAATTAAAAGATAATGACACTATTCAGAGACTAAACTTTGCGAATGAAATGTTGAATCGATTTTCTTCGCTCAATAATGTGCTGTTCTCGGACGAGGCTCACTTCCATTTAAACGGGCATGTAAATAAACAAAATTGCCGTTATTGGAGCCCCGAAAATCCAAGGCGTAAGCATCAGAAGCCCTTACACAGCCCTAAAGTTACAGTTTGGGCTGCTATGTCAGCGCATGGCATCGTAGGCCCTTATTTTTTTGAGGACGACAGAGGTCGCGCATTAACTGTTACTTCGGAGCGGTATGTAGCAATGATAGAGGAGTTTTTGACAACAGCGTTGCAGAATTTTCCAGGCTATAATACGCAGACCTGGTTTCAACAGGACGGAGCAACTGCCCACACCTCCAACACTTCTATGCCCGTCGTCTGTCAACTTTTTCCCAGCAAAGTAATTTCTCGAAGAGGAGACATTTCCTGGCCACCACGTAGTCCACACTTAACCCCAATGGACTTTTTTTTATGGGGCTACCTCAAGGGTAAAGTGTACGACACCACTCCGCGATCAGTTGATGTCCTGAAAGAAAATATCCGAAGAGAAATGGCAAGCATTACAGTGTTGACTTGCCGCGCAGTCATCGACAATTTTAGACGTCGTTTATATGAGTGCCGTGATCGTAATGGATTGCATTTAGACGATGTGATTTTTAAAACATAATTCCCATTCAATAAAGATGATAACAAAATATAATAATTCTTCATAATGTAACTAGTTTGGTTTTATTCCTTTTTTTCCAGCTCAAAGGACTTATGGGCCACCCTGTATAATGTTTGAAAACCTAAAAATATTTTACCACTGTTTTCTTATATAATTGAAGGGGTTAGAATGAAAAGGGTATAAAGAACATAAGCACTGTTTTGAGATAATCGAGCTTAAAGCTGTTTGACTTTGAAAAAATCCAGGTAATAATAGAGTCTCACCATCGAATTTTGTTTTTCAGGGTGGCTACAATATGTTTTACCAACCTTTCATGTTCAAGTCCCGTAGTAAACAAGTCAACAAGAAGTTGCAGGTTGCTGCTGATGAAGCAGAAAGTATGAAGTCGAAGACCATTGAAGAAAAGCTAAAATTCTTCGAAGACGTGATAAACAAACAACGAGAGGGACAGTCATCATGTACCAAAAAGGTTTCCTCTATAAAAAGTGCTAAATCTAAGAGGACAAGTGGCGATATGGAATGTCTTCCCTCTATGAAAATTGCAAGAGGTAGTGTGATCTATTATCTTTATATAAAAAATAGATTTCTGCATTTATAGTCTCTCCACAGAGTGGAGGTTGTTGAATTTTCGAGAACACCTTTCAATAAAAATGGACAATGCGATTAATAATGCTGAGCTGCATACCGGGTGTGCACACAGAATAGTGTTTTTTTTTTTTTCAATAATACCATTAATTAATGTATACTACCTGAAGATAGCAACCATGTACTGTAATTCAGCTTCCAAAAATTATCTGAGTTGGAATGAAATACGCTGGCCTCATCTATGAGAATTTGTCATACCTATGCCCCTATATCCTTATATAGTTGGCGCCGTCTATGAGACATTAACCTTTTTGAAGTATATTTCTCATTAGTACGGAGAGGCGAAACATATATATGACAAATTCTTGTAGATATTGATAGGGTATCGCATTTCATCTCGGATAATTTTTTAGATGCTGAAATGCACGATATAGATGGCTATATTCAGGTGCAATCAAGGATAAGTCTCAGTATGACAACATCGCGCACTGCATACCACTCGGCGATCACTGACAGGAGTCCGATTAGTACTTATGTAACGCTATAGGAGCAGTCACTGTTCTTGACGGTTACATCATCAACGCCATATGCAATAAGTAAACAGATCGACTCCATACCATGGGCGGATCTAAATTTTCTCAACTGAGTGAAACCGATTCAAAATTATTTACTAATCGTAATTCTCAAAAATTAAGTGGATAAAAGGGGACCGCTGTTTCCATTCTCTTCCTGGACATAAATTTAGCGCAAGCTGTCGGCCTTCTCCATTGATCGCATTTCCGGACATTGTACAATTTTATGTTGAAGATTGATAACAGGACAACTCAAATTGCACGTCGATGTCAAGTAAGTGGTCACTCTGCAAATATGATTGAAGGACACTCATACGTAACGACAAAGTTTTCGAGACAGAGACACAACTAAAAAACGTATGTCTTTGACCTTACCGAACGAACGTTCACACACAGGAGTAGGTTGCATGTGTATGTATGAGGAAGATGGAGATATATAAAGGGATACTGGTAGCCTTACTTTGGCCCGCCAAGAACGACTAAAAAAATCTTAAAAAATGTGTGTGGACAACGAGCCCATTTGCGATTAAACATATGGACTTTGTCATTGTTACAGTCACAGAAGAATCAACCACTAAGTCTCGGAGGACTATAAAAGTGGGATCGACAGAGGAGTCGAAACAGAACGAAGTTTTGAAAGCTGAAGGGGAGGAGCCAGACGACAACAAAAAAGACATCGAGAACACTCCAAAACCTGCAAAGTTAGCATTGATGCTCCCACCATTAGAAGAGTTGTATTCCATAGAAGCACAGAAAACATTGTTCAAAAGGAATAACCTATTTAAGGGAATGAGCAAAGATAAGGTGTGCCATTATTGTTTGGAACCAGGTGATGTACTACGATGCAGTGCTAAATGCAATGGCATTTACCATTTAGAGTGTTCAAGGATGGTAAGTACTAATAATGTTATGTACTTTGCAATTTTTGGGGACCTTTCTTTTTTTGGAATAACAACAAACACACACACCAAGGAGATGGCGTGGCAGCTAGTAGCTCGACGGTTGTTGGCATTGACGTCGCTTGCAGTTTGTGATTGTCACATTTCAGCTACCATTCCATTCATACTCCAAAAAATAATTGATAATTCGATTAAAGTACTTCTGATTCGTGTTTTGTATCCTTTCAAGTGATTCAGTTTGAGCAACAGCATTGAAAGCCTTCCAAGATCTTCCCCTTGGAAATACAGGTCCCTAAAGGAAGGTTTCCACATAAAGCAACTGCCCATGGCAACCCGACTGGGTTGTATTCTAATACAAGCGTTATCATCAAAGCGACCCGACCAGTCTCTCAATGGTTGCTGGCACTGCTATAGCTAGTCGATTTGGAGTTGCCCACCAGTTGATGTCACTTGTCATCTGCGAATATCATTGGGACACAACTATGAGTCCGATCATATCCTCAAAAAGTCTTTGATAATCCGATAAAAGTACACGATAGAAAATATGAAATAATAGCCAAAACTTAAATGTTTTGAGGTGATGCGCCCAGAAAAAAAATCACCAGTCATACTCAAAATTTTCTGAAAATGTATAATTTCCAACTATTTTTTTTAAGGTTAACGATTATTTTTGAAGAGCTGTCTAGCGACATAGCCACTACATCAAACTGGACATTGAGATCTCATTTTAACGGACTTTTATATACTACTGTTAAATATATTTGGGAAATCGACAAATGGTATCATCATCAGGAGTGCGTCGGCGAGATTTGTGCAAAAATTTTAATTCATAAAGTATACGAGAACACATCGTAAGGTGATCAAAAACTGGATTCACGAGGATCTTTTTTTGAAAACGATGCAAAACATGGCTATGTTTAGAAGTAATCACGCCTACCCTTTTGACCACGTTAGCATTTTGGGGTTATGCCAAGATGTGACATATACCCTATTGCACGAGTATCCATCACGCTTTGACGTCTACTGAGGTGAACAGCTGATCAACAAGTGACCTTTTGGAGTTAGTCTGCGACGTTGGCAATAATGAATCGGGTGTAAATCAAGTAAAACTTGTTTGTAACGTTTTGTTTTTGTATTCAAATGAACTTTTCTAAATAAATGAGCTGTACAAAATGAATCTGTAGCATACAAAGAAACAAAACAAAATACGACTCTGACTACCTGACGTTGACGGATCCGTCAGAACTATGTGTCCTGTACCGATATGGGGAATTTTGAGATATTACTAGATAATCGGTTGTCATTCTACCATGATGGATACTCGTGAAAAGTTTGATCAATCATTAATTAATAACGTTTGTCTCAATCCGTTTGTGTTTTATCAGTAAAACATTGCCACGTTTTTCATCGTTTTCCAAAAACATCCTCGTGAATCCAGTTTTTCATTACCCCACCATGTTTTCGTATACGCTTTATAAAATCAAATTTTAGCACCAAGCTCGACGACGCACTCCTAATGACGACACCATAGACTGTCGAAAGCTTGAGTTGTAAGTCAAAAGAGTACACTTATGTCGATATACGCGAAAAAGGGATTTTTCCAACTTTGGCGTTCAATAAAATAGTTGGCCACCAAATTTTTTCGTATCTAGACGGAACACTTTTTCGTTTACCCTTGAGAATATATTTCCATTGTAAAATCTGCGATTTATTTTTCTAGAATATGCTACTTAGCTTGATGTAGTGTGCGAATACTTCTTGAGTGTAATCGAACTCTTGTGCTCTATTCTTGTCACACTTATTGTACTAACAGTAGAGCTCCTGGAAAGCCTCAAAGATCAGAAGGATCAGTATTATTATCCTATTATAAATAATTTAGATAAGTGTACAACTCACATTTCGAGGGTACTACCGAAACGTTAGCTACCTGCCACAATGACATCCGGAGATGTTTTGCTGTCTTTTTGGTGAGAATATTTTTTCACTCTGAACAATGTATTTGTAGGTGATGTATAATAAGATCGGTGGTAAGCGTCAGGCGAGCCTCAAATGCAGTCCCTCCATGAAGTCTGACGGGGAGCGATCGGAAAGCGGTGAAGCAGACGACAGCCATGTTCAGATTGTCACGGTACAGTCTTCCATTTACAATACGCCGCCAAGGAAGAACTTTCCGCCTGATTTCGATAGTTTGTCCCTAGCTGAACAAATCGACTACAAGATGAAAGAAGTAAGTATAGTCTTAGTCGGGAGAAAATGCTGTTTTAACGCACAGAAGTCGCTGCGCTTCTTAACTACTCATTTACAAAATGGCCCACTGTGTTATGCACGAGCATAATAATAAAAGACTCATTGGCCTTTTGGGGAGCTAGTATCGCTTCTTTAGGATAACGAAAATAATGCTGCCTATTTGCAACATACAGCTTAGGTGAAAAGAACAGCAAAATACATAATACATTTAAGCCGTGCACTGAAATTTAGTAAAATCATCATTAGTAGAATTTATCAACACTACGTTTTCATGAACTCAACTAATGACGTTTTGCGATATATCAAAAAAATACGAAAGTCCTAATTCAATTTAAAAAACGGTATTCATGCGATTTATACAGAATAGCCAGAGGATATTCCTTGATATTACTTCTGATATATGTTTTTTTATTTCCACAAATAAGGTATTGATTCATGAACTTGACTTCAAATATGACCTAGAATAATGACCTCAGGAGCCATTTGGAAGTTTACAATTAACGTATGTATTTATGGCACAAAACTCATTGGCTTTAAATTTAACAAACACAAAATAATATCAAGTTGCCTTTGAAACAAAAGTTTGTTTACTTACTTCACTGTCAGTTGAAATTTATTTATTTTGAAGTTTTCGCTTTAAGATATATAAATTAGAAATAAGAAAAAGTATCTGCAAGTTTTTTGGGCGGGGGAAATCTATCGAAAATTCCAGCATGAAAACATTTTACGCAGAACCATTTATCGAGCGTGGAGTGCGAGCAGGGAATACCATGTCTGAATCTCCCAAAAAGTGGAAGACCACGTGCATTTACTGCACAGAGGTCAGAGAGATTAGTGAAAAGAGCAAAAGATCATGTTGCAATTTCAACAAGAAGACTGGCTCGTCAATACAGATCTTCTAAGAGTACGATATCGTTGGAATTGAGGAGGAATGGTCTTAAATATCGAAAGAGACTTAAGTACCCCAAATATTCTCCAGCGCAACCTCCTATACCAAGACGCTGTCGTCAACTGAGGCGGATACACTTTGCCAATGGAAAAATCATTATTTTAGATAACTAAAAGTATTTCACTTTGAGCAGTTCTGAAATGAAGGGAAACGACGGATTTTATACGGACAACGTAGAGGAATGCTCTGACAATGTTAGATGCAAACCTTCTGAAATTAAATTGAAATTTGCATATAAAGTCCTTGTCTGGTGCGCAATTTCTAACAGCGGTGTATTATATCCTTTTGTGGGAAGAGTGAGGGGTGAAGCTTTAAATAGTCAGAGCTAAATTGATAACTGCCTTTCCAAATTGCTTCAGTTTGTCCGCGAGCATCATGCTAATGACCATATCATGTTTTCGCCAGACCTAGCAGCATGCCATTACTTAATAGATACCCAGAACTGGCTTCGACAACGCAACATACCTTTTGTTCCCGAAACGATAATCCTCCAAACTTGCCGCAGGCTCACCCAATAGAGGATTTTTGGGCTTTACTGTCTAGGAAGGTTTATCATAGAGGCTGGGAAACTCAAGATGAATAACAATTAATATGGCGAATTTACGAAAAACTGAGAGAAATTGATCCGAATTCCATCGAGGACCCCATGAGAGACATTCGAAGAAAGTTGCGTCTGGTACAGCAGAATGCCCACTCGACATAATTCGATAGTATAGTTTAGTTAAGTATTGAGCTGTAATTTATAAAAGGTGTTTAAATAAATTTCTGCATTAAAAAAATCCAATAAATATTTTGTGCCAAAACTTTTAAGACATACGTTACAAATTGCAACCATCCTTTTTGACAGCAGATTCGTGATCAGCTCGAGATTCTTCATCAAAAAGCATTTCCATACATGAAACGGCCAAAATAACTCATCTAGTTGTCAAGCCATAACGCCTGAAATGTACTGAAACCTGTAATCATGTATTTTGAGAAAAGAAGGTTTATCTGTATATCAGAGAAGTTTACCAATGACGTTGAATATAACTCTCATGATGGACCGGCAGGTTATCTGAGGTGATTTGAGGTCACACATGAATCCCTTTCTGAACTACTGCAACTTTTGTATGAATACTTAAAAGATACATAAATATGTTTTTGAGATGTTTTTCAGCTCAATTTACTAATTTAACCAGTTACGATCACCTAATGTCATGTATAAAAATGTGGATCGTATTTGATGCCAGCGGTAAATAACTGCTTTGATCACCTGAAACTATTGTAAAAACCGCTTTTTTAAATATTACGTGCTAGCCAAGTACCCGATGATACAGTTTGACTTTAATTTAATTTAATCATTTGATCATGACTACCTGATGTAAAATCCCGAGTTAATCACGAATCTATTGTCAAAAATATAGGTTGTCATTTACATTGACAAGCTTCGTCGTTAAATGACGTCATAAATGTTATCTAGGTCATATTAAAAGTTATCAATAAATGTAATATTTAGTACAATAGATCTTATCAACAAACAATTTGTAAAATATTATACCACGTTCATGCAAACCTGTTACGTTTCCTTGGACGTACGAACTCAAGGGAGAATTTATGTTGCACGTTAACACAAATCACTATTGCTTCTCACTAAAGTTCTTAGGTCCAGGACAAGTTGCATGAATCGACCATCCAAATTTTACCCACTATTGTTATTTAGGTGATGCGAAAATTTGAATCGAAAACAACATATGCCAATGAATCTTCCCGGTCTGCATCTGCGAGTAGCGAAGACAACGGCAGTGATGAAAAGGTAGTGATAAGGCACGTGGCTGCCGATTCCGTAATCGAAGAGGTCGTTCCCAAACCAAAAAAAGCCAAGAACAACGTCGCTGTGAAACTGTTCTCAAAGTTAGAGGAGGCGAATGAGAATAGCGATTTTAAAACGCCGAACAACTTGTTGGCCAACCGTCATGTCACTGCCGACGACGTCGCATTTGAAGCCTTAATGGCGGATTCAAAAAACTTCAAGTGCAGTTTTTGTTTAACGGACGTGGAGCCAAACTGCTTTGTATGCCATGAAAGAATCTCGTCCAGAGGGAGTGAGGTAAGGTGATATTATTTATATATAAATATCTATAGCTTCCTCCTTTTGTTGGGTACTTCGGCAAAATTCAAGCAAAGAGGACTCTTTATACTTCATTAATCTCTAGCTTTCAATGGACTTTGCCATCTTCATCAGGAGAGTCCTATGTGAGATTGTTGCTAAATGTTATTAACGTTTAGGTTGAGGGAAACACCCAGTAACCTGGTGAATGCTGGATACATGGTACATTCGTCAAAATTAATATAAACTACACACAGCTGTATGTCAGGAACAAATTAAACCGGATTAAAAATATTTAAAACGAAAGTTAAACTTACATCGTGAACTACCTGATGCTGCACTATTGATGTTAAGCGGTGGGTGATGTGAGGTGGTGTGATGCCATGTCTTCTACATTTTAATAAGAGAATCCGTCGATTGATCTCCTGTGCTAGTCGTTTTCTGCCGTTGATCCAATCCTTCATCAGTCTTACTGCCTGGTTCCCATAACGTTCTTCGATGGTGTTGAAAAATCCCAAATCTGTGAATGTAACTTGAGACGTGGTCATTGTCGTTTAGACCAGTTAGGTGAAAAATAAAGCTTCCGCCTAGGTGCAGCATCAGGTGGTTCACGATGTAATTTTAACTTTCGTTTGAAATATTTTTAATCCGCCAAAGCCAACGACTAGTAGTAGTATGTCAGGACCAAATTAAAACGGATTAAAAATATTTTTTATATATATATATAACAACAAGTAGGAAAATAATCCGCAAAAAGGAGGAAAGTGGATTCGAGCAGAAAATAGGATAGGTAACCCGAGCGATACGTATTTCTGCTGGTTGGCTTCATCAGGCCCGAAATGAATGCACATATGAAACTACAAAAGTAGATACACATGCCCACACATCCGGATACGGGTGTAACCTGAGGAAACGAAGTTGGAGGGAAAAAAAGAAACGACACACGAAGTCCACAACAAGAGCCAACCTACACATTGTAGTATAAAATGGCTATACGACCTCGAATTTTCAAGGAGACGTCTAACCACCACCACGCGGCGGGTTATAGCCATTTGCTGTGGTACTTCAAGCCCAAAGGATCTACAAAGAGAATATGATCATGCGGAGAAAAGTATATAACAACAAGTAGGAAAATAATGGGCAAAATCCGCAAAAAGGAGGAAAGTGGATTCGAGCAGAAAATAGGATAGGTAACCCGAGCGATACGTATTTCTGCTGGTTGGCTTCGTCAGGCCCGAAATGAATGCACATATGAAACTACAAAAGTAAATACACATGCCCACACATCCGGATACGGGTGTAACCTGAGGAAACGAAGTTGGAGGGGAAAAAAACGACACACGAAGTCCACAACAAGAGCCAACCTACACATTGTAGTATAAAATGGCTATACGACCTCGAATTTTCAAGGAGACGTCTAACCACCACCACGCGGCGGGTTATAGCCACTTGCTGTGGTACTTCAAGCCCAAAGGAGATCTACAAAGAGAATATGATCATGCGGAGAAAAGTATATAACAACAAGTAGGAAAATAATGGGCAAAATCCGCAAAAAGGAGGAAAGTGGATTCGAGCAGAAAATAGGATAAGTAACCCGAGCGATACGTATTTCTGCTGGTTGGCTTCATCAGGCCCGAAATGAATGCACATATGAAACTACAAAAGTAGATACACATGCCCACACATCCGGATACGGGTGTAACCTGAGAAAACGAAGTTGAAGGGGAAAAAAACGACACACGAAGTCCACAACAAGAGCCAACCTACACATTGTAGTATAAAATGGCTATACGACCTCGAATTTTCAAGGAGACGTCTAACCACCACCACGCGGCGGGTTATAGCCATTTGCTGTGGTACTTCAAGCCCAAAGGATCTACAAAGAGAATATGATCATGCGGAGAAAAGTATATAACAACAAGTAGGAAAATAATGGGCAAAATCCGCAAAAAGGAGGAAAGTGGATTCGAGCAGAAAATAGGATAGGTAACCCGAGCGATACGTATTTCTGCTGGTTGGCTTCATCAGGCCCGAAATGAATGCACATATGAAACTACAAAAGTAGATACACATGCCCACACATCCGGATACGGGTGTAACCTGAAGAAACGAAGTTGGAGGGGAAAAAACGACACACGCAGTCCACAAAAAGAGCCAACCTACACATTGTAGTATAAAATGGCTATACGACCTCGAATTTTCAAGGAGACGTCTAACCACCACCACGCGGCGGGTTATAGCCACTTGCTGTGGTACTTCAAGCCCAAAGGATCTACAAAGAGAATATGATCATGCGGAGAAAAGTATATAACAACAAGTAGGAAAATAATGGGCAAAATCCGCAAAAAGGAGGAAAGTGGATTCGAGCAGAAAATAGGATAGGTAACCCGAGCGATACGTATTTCTGCTGGTTGGCTTCATCAGGCCCGAAATGAATGCACATATGAAACTACAAAAGTAGATACACATGCCCACACATCCGGATACGGGTGTAACCTGAGGAAACGAAGTTGGAGGGGAAAAAAACGACACACGAAGTCCACTTTCCTCTTTTTTGCGGATTTTGCCCATTATTTTCCTACTTGTTGTTATATATTTTCCTCCGCATGATCATATTCTCGTTGTAGATCCTTTGGGCTTGAAGTACCACAGCAAGTGGCTATAACCCGCCGCGTGGTGGTGGTTAGACGTCTCCTCGAAAATTCGAGGTCGTATAGCCATTTTATACTACAATGTGTAGGTTGGCTCTTGTTGTGGACTTCGTGTGTCGTTTCTTTTTTTCCCTCCAACTTCGTTTCCTCAGGTTACACCCGTATCCGGATGTGTGGGCATGTGTATCTACTTTTGTAGTTTCATATGTGCATTCATTTCGGGCCTGATGAAGCCAACCAGCAGAAATACGTATCGCTCGGGTTACCTATCCTATTTTCTGCTCGAATCCACTTTCCTCCTTTTTGCGGATTTTGCCCATTATTTTCCTACTTGTTGTTATATACTTTTCTCCGCATGATCATATTCTCTTTGTAGATCCTTTGGGCTTGAAGTACCACAGCAAGTGGCTATAACCCGACGCGTGGTGGTGGTTAGACGTCTCCTTGAAAATTCGAGGTCGTATAGCCATTTTATACTACAATGTGTAGGTTGGCTCTTGTTGTGGACTTCGTGTGTCGTTTTTTTCCCCTCCAACTTCGTTTCCTCAGGTTACACCCGTATCCGGATGTGTGGGCATGTGTATCTACTTTTGTAGTTTCATATGTGCATTCATTTCGGGCCTGATGAAGCCAACCAGCAGAAATACGTATCGCTCGGGTTACCTATCCTATTTTCTGCTCGAATCCACTTTCCTCCTTTTTGCAGATTTTGCCCATTATTTTCCTACTTGTTGTTATATACTTTTCTCCGCATGATCATATTCTCTTTATATATATATATACTTTTGACGATAAAATCAAGCTTTCGGCATTCTCTATGGAGCCATCATCAGGATTCTGAAAACACAATTGTGATGCTAGCAAAGAAAACAGGACAGATTTAAAATGTCAGACAACTTACTCGTCGGTGAGGTTGCAGCCACAAGGTGTTTCAGAAAGAACGTCGAGAAGATCGAACTTGTGTTCAGTATAAAAACAGAATCTTGTTCAGCTCTCCTCCGAATATTTTGCCAATCACTAATAACAATAGTGAAAATGACAACACGGATCAATCAAACCAGATACCCATTAATTCTTCAACTAATGAGAACAACAACATTACAGTGGTTGCTCCTATTTCCAGAGTTAACTGTGTTGTATTGTCATACATCAAAGAACTAACACCAAAATTGATCAGGCTGTATAATCCCTTTAATTGTCGTTGTGCTTGTAAATCAGTTCTCACAGTCAACAGTTTGTTGTCCAAAATGAAAGATAAGGTTCAGTTGCTTGATTCAACCAATACTGTATATCGTATTAATTGCAACAACTGCAATTTAGTTTATATAGGCCAAACTTCTAGGTCGCTGAAAGGCAGGATAACGTCACACAAAAGTGATGCCAGATTACATCCAGAAAGATGTGCTTTGGCGTCTCATATTAACAACACAGGTCACTCTATGAATTATGGCAGTATTGAGGTTCTTGATAAAGAAAAAATACTCTCAAAACGTTTATTTTTAGAAATGCCCCACATTTTCATGACAGATCATTGCATGAATAAAAAGGCTGATGTTAAGCAGCTCAGTATCATTTATTCCTGCCCGTTGAATTGCAAAAAGCTAGAACGGCTACATGTCCAAATTGATCCAACATCTTCACAAAATTAGAATACATTTTCTCACTCACATTTTTAATATAAACTCACATAACCCATCTTTTCAAGGTTGTATCAATATCACTCATTCTTGCACTCATATGAACCACACACTCTTTTCCAAAACAAGTTATTCCAGCATTTTAGTAATTTTGGGTGGAGATTTACCGAGCGTCCCTCGTATACTTCATACCCAAAGTTGGATCACTTGTCTTCTGTCGACGCTTTACCGTTCCGTGCCTTCCCCCTCTCCACGTGTAGCGGTAGTAGAAGGTTAGGGACTGCATTCCGATTGTTTCAACAAAAGGTATATTCTTTAATTCACCGGTTGATTCCATCACTGATTGATCCGGTGAACTCAAGGTTGACAGCTGATGTGATGACGTCAACAACCGGTTCCGTTGAATGGTCGTTAATAAAAAGACGCATTTTTAGCCTTCAGGTTGCTGTCATATGAGAAAACCTAACCTTTGTTTTATCGTAAATGGATACTTGTTAATTTGAACACCCTATCATTTAAAATCATTATGGAAATGTACGCAGCAGTTGGTATTGTCGTGGAACGTTTGTTAAGCGATTCGAGTGATGATTCTGATGAAGAAGTCATCCAGCGGAGAGAATTTGCGCTCCGAGAATCAATATAAGAACTATAAATCAGAAAACCAAGAAATTTTCAGATATCGAGGATCTCAAATCAATACGAGGCATTGATTTGAGATCGTCGATGCTTCCCGTATAAGAACCATCGATATGGATTTTCTGAGAGCATTCCTGTATTCATACAGGAATAAAAACAGAACAAAATCAGAAAATCGACATTTTCGGACTTACGAGGTATTGATTTGAGATCGTCGATATGCATAATTCAAAACAAATTGACTTGCTTTCAGATGCTCTGTTTATTTCAAATTGTGTTGAAAAAAAAAACATTAAAATTCACGCGACTCCTATGCTGCTAACTTCAATCTTTTCTTCTTCCATTTTTTCACACAAAACTGTAGTTGTCAAAAACTGATAAAATGTAGAGGTTAGAATATCGTGGATCAACCGAGCCCGAACGTCGGTGGATTCTGTTGGCACCGGTGGCATATCCACCATCAATATAGAGACAAGTTTGATGTTCAACCGGTAGTTCCAGCGGAAATTAAAGGACGCAAACTGGGCTAACCGGTTGCACCGGTAGCTCAACCGGTGAATTAAAGAATATACCTAAGATGTCTCCCCACGTGTAATATTTTTAACTTGTTCGGGTGTATTGATATAATTTTTATTTTTTCTTAACTTTTAACGAAGGTGTCTGTCGTTTTTTAACAAGCCCAATGTCCCCGTCTTTTTGTTTTTATACTGAACACAAGTTCGATCTTCTCTACGTTCTTTCTGAAACACCTTGTGGCTGCAACCTCACCGACGAGTAAGTTGTCTGACATTTTAAATGTCCTGTTTTCTTTGATAGCATCACAATTGTGTTTTCAGAATCCTGATGATGGTTCCATAGAGAATGCCGAAAGCTTGATTTTATCGTCAAAAGAGTCAACTTAAGCCTAAAAGTTTTGCCAATTTCCCAATTAACAAGTAATTGTATTTTGTACCCAACTAGTCGTTGGCTTTGGCAATGACTACTTCTCGTATATATATATATATATATATATATATACATAGTCGTGCCATAAGTTCTGTCCCATGATAATCTCATGATAAAAATGAAACAAGATAAGATATATTTATATGAAAGATATTATTTATTCGACAACATTTTTAGAATTCATAATCAAACAGTTTTATTCAAAATGTCCCCCCTTGGCCTTCACACACTGCTTCAATCTCGCGGGCCACTCATCTATCACTGCACGCACAGCTTCCAAAGGAATAGCTGCCGCTGATCGGATCAAATCCGCTTTCAGGGACTCGATATTACGGTGGGCTTTGGAGCAGGCCAACTGCTCTAGCAGGTCCCACAACTTGTAGTCTAAAGGATTGAGGTCCGGACTCCCTGAGGGCCAATCTTCCGCAGCAATGAACTCTGGCACATTGCTTTCCAGCCAGCGCTGCGTACTCTTAGCCTTGTGAGCGGGGGCGGAATCCTGCTGGTAGACCCAGTGTTGGTTGGCAAACAATGTACCACTTAAAGGCTTGACGATAGGATCCAGTATGTCGCTCTGATAGTTTGCCGCTTTTGTTTTCACGCCCTGTTTACAGAAATGGAGCTGAGTGACCCCTTCGTAGGACACCCCCCACCAAACCATGACTGACGCAGGGTGGTGGCCTCTCTCAACTCTCGGAATGATCTCCGAAGCTTCCTGTGAACTCCTTGCATACACTTTGTCATTTTGTCGGTTGAATTTTTCTTCTATGGTGAAGATTTTCTCATCCGTGAACAAAATCTTTCGGAATCCCCCAGCTGCGTACCTCTCCAAGAGCTTCTTGGATCTTGTCGCCCTGATGTGTCGCAAGGTGGCCGTAAGTCGCTGGCCCGTACGTCTCCGGTAAGCCCCTAGCCCTAGGTCTTGTTTAATGATGCGCGACATCGTCCGGACAGGAATCTTCATTTCCCTGGATAGGATCTTCTGCTTCCGGAGTGGATTCCTTTGAATCCTGGCTTTTACGGCTTTGATGGCTGCTGGAGTCCTTACTTGATGAGGTCTTCCGCTTCTTGGCCTGTCATCAACAGAGGACGTCTCATTGTACCGCTGAATGGTCCTAGACACAAATTTACGCGATATTTGAAGGCCGCGTAAGAGTTCAAAAATCTGACTAGCACTGTGATTACACTTATGTAAAGCTATCACTGCAATACGGTTCTCTGCCTTGCCCCACTCCATCGTTATGCTTCGAGAGATCAATACAAACTGAGGTATATGTAATTACCCGAAAAGCGCTTAATCAACTGACACCACAATGTAAACAATCGGACAAGTATTAACAGGTCTACACTTGTTTGAAAACGAGGGACAGAACTTATGGCATGACTATGTATATATATATATATATATAATTTTTGTATTTATTGTTAGTTTCTTTTTATGGTCGACTAAAGATTAACTACATCTTGATAAAGTAATAATTTTATAGCCGTTCTTAAAAACATCGAATTTCATTTTTAAACAATTACAACTTTAAGGTAGAAAATCGTACTCTACGTTCCATCTCGTTGGAGGTCATTTTTTTATAATTACTATCGACCGTAAATACGAGAGCTGAAGGTGACTTAGGCCCGTATCGTCAGTGGTCCCTTCAATTGTAGGGCGCGTTTATGGCCTCCTTGATTGTCATACTCCTGTCTCTCCTTAAAAAATTTCTAGATTACACTTGTCCCGTGTTAGCGTCAGCGCTCTCCTATTGTGAAGATATGTTTTCTTTTTAAATTGTAGGAAATTTTAGGCTGATAAAACATGATATAACTCAAAAGCAAGCACAATTTGATGCAAATAGATGTTTGTGACATAACCTCAAAATAGAGTTCTGACACGGAGAAGTAGAAAACTATGACAATCAAGGAGGCCATAAAGGCGCCCTACAATTGTAGGGACGACTGACGATACGGGCCTAAGTGCATTTTCTGGTGCTCTGTTGTAGGAATGATTTTTCTGCGGCCCACTGCCCGATTCTGTGAAATAGTTCACACGCTGAGTGGCGGATTTATAGGGTGGTGGGCTGGTTTTTATTAGAAATCAGCCCCCTTGGTGTTTTTTTTTTGTCGGAGCCTTTTTCTCACCCTCTTGGGGATTTAACCGTACAGATAACTACTCAACCATCGAGCTGAGGGGAACCGCCTCCAGGGTTAGTCGAAGGCGAGTTTGAGTGAGACTCACGCCTGGGATCATTTTTGGAGAACACTCATTTTTCGAGGGTTCGACCCGGTTTTACCGTCCGGTTTTACCTTGGGTTCTACCTTAGGGTATATAGTAACATCTGGGACTTCCTGCCCTCGGTTGCCGTTCAGGGAAAGCCAAGTTTTTTCTTTAATTTCAGTTTTATTGGTAAAAATTTAGCCAGGGGGATAATACGTAGTAATTTTTGTAGCCTGTCCTCCAAGACTTCTCTTCAATTCTTTTTGTCCAATAAATGTCTGTGAGTCTTATGAGATTGTGTCTCCTTAGTCTCCATTGTTATTTCATTTCCTAGTTTTTGAAACTAGGTGGCGCCCAAACCGCGAACGAAGAGCCTCAACCTGAGGTCTCATATCCAGCGACGGTTAGTTTGGCGGGATTAAAGGTGACCTGGAACCATAAGCTATAGCACCCCAAACCATAACTCCAACAGTGTGATGAACATGTCTTTCAACAAAAAACTGTGGATTCCTCCTTTCACCACGTCGCCTTCTAACCCTGGCACGACCATCGTGCATGCCTAAACAAAATCGAGACTCGTCACTAAAGACAATACTGTTCCATTCCTGATCCCAGAGTGACCGTTGTCTGCACCACTCAAGGCGATTACGTCGGTGTTCTGGAGTTAAAGGGAGGACCCAGTGTGGCCGGTATGAAAACAAGCCAAAACTTCTCATTCGTCGGTAAACACTTCGCATGCCAATAGGTCTTCCGTGTTCTGCAAACCATTCATTTGCAATGGACCTGGTAGTGGAGAAACGGTCCCTTAAGGCCAATAATCTTAGGCGGCGATCTTCACGGTCTGTTGTTCTACGGCGGCGTCCAGTGCCCCTTGCTCTTTGCGTACGGCCTTCTCGAAGCCATGCCTGACAACACCTAACCACAGTGTCTACACTTCTTTACACTCTAACTGCAATAGCCCGAAAAGGAGTCCCACTATACGGCCCCTATCAAACTCACTAAGTTGACGAAATCGTACAGGTCTCCGTACTCTAGGCATCGTATCCGATCGTAAAGGATGTCAAGAACCAAAATCCGCCAACATTTATTCTTTACTCGGCTGAAATATTCATTTTTAGAGCGTTAGTGAATTAAAAAAAAGCAGTATAAAAACCGGAATGTCCAACTAATAAGGCTGAAAATTTTTTCACTTGTTATTTACAGTAAGATAAATACATTCACCAACTTTTATTAAAATAAAACCATTTAAACTGGGTGTTCGGATTTATATGTCACTTAGTATATATTGCTTATAAGAAGCTGACTTCCCATGCCATTTTCATCAGCCTAAATGCGTTTTAACTTGACCCGTTCAAAAGATAAAAGGAGGGGAAGGTAGATTAAAGGCAAGTACTGTATAATAATCAGGACAGTGGAGTAATATAGCTGCTAATGATCCAGTTTTGACATCGATACCAAACTAACACAAGGGGACACTTGTTCATCAACTGTTTATCTCTAAGGGACAAATGTTGAACTATCCGTAGAATAGTTTAGCGTCATAGATGTTTATAAACAAATTGTACTTTTCTGGTTTCAAGATGTTTATCAAATTTCATTTCTAGGTGCGTCAGAAGTGCTCACTGTACCACTGCGGCCGATACTTCCATCCAAGTTGTTTGAAAATGTGGCCACAAACGCAGTGGTCGATCATACAGCTCTCCAAGTCCAAGAATGTGTCTGACAGCTTTGTGTGTCCGCAACATGTTTGTCATACATGCGTTTCTGATGATCCCAGAGCTGCTACCTCTAGGTAAATATGTAAAATATGATTTATTCACTTCCAGACTGGATATTAGATACCAGTGGTGACCAAAAATGAAACATCATATACAGGACCGCACTTGAAGATGGGTTTTCTATTTAACATTTTTTCCTCGAGGGCTTCATTGAAGTTTAAAAATAAAAAACATTTTTTTTATATCTTCAAAACCAACCACTGGAATGAACTAAAATTTGGTATGTGGATTTACCTAAGTATTGTCCATATTCAAAAGTCTTTGCTTAAAATTAACGTGCACTAGTGGTGGAGATACAATGGATTAGTGGCATTATTTTATCAAATAAAAATAGTGCGCCACTGTTCTTTTTTTTCGAAATGTGCAATTTTTCGAATTTTACTTTGAATTTACTACAAATAATTACTCTTGTATTTCTTCCTAGAGTGCACTGTTTTCGTAAATATAAAAATAAAACAAATTAGATCATCAAGAGCCGAGATACATTTAGTTTCTTAGTTTCTTAGGAGATAGCTTGTCAAGCTTTTGAGTTATCATTACTACTGCATTTTTTTTTAAAGTCAAGTCTTAAGTTTCTTTTTTTCCATTTTTGAGTGTTGTGAAATGGAATTTAGCAACGATGAGTACGCCGATATTATTTTTATGTACGGGCTCTGTAATGGAAATGCTTTAGCGGCTTCTCGGGAGTATCAACGTAGTCGCCACCTACCCCAAAGGTTGTTACGCGTTCATTCCTGAGACTTCGGCAATATGGAATTGCCAAATTGCCCGGAGTTAGAGGCCATGGTGTCCGGCACACTGTTCAATAGGAACTGGAAGTGATTAATTTTGTGTTGGATGATCCTAGTACAAGTACTATACGGATTGCAGCACAGTTACCAGTTTTGCGTGAAGAATTTTAAATCGGGAAGTTTTACATCCTTACCATCGGTAAAATGTGCAATGTCTGCAACCCGGCGACGAAGTGCAACGGCGAAATTTTTGTGAGGGGTTACTGCAAATGCATAATCAAAATGCAGATTTTTATTAATTTGGTTTTGTGGTCAGATGAATCGCTTTTTACGAGGAGTGGAACATTTAATTATCATCATGAACATATTTGGTCATTAGAAAATCCCGTTCTGTAAGAATCCACTCGTTTCAACACAGATTTTCTAGAAATTTCTAGTGCGGCATTTTCACTGGCCAACTGTTTATGCACCTATAGTCACAACGTTTAAATGTAAACTCATACTTAGCTTTTCTACAGAATTACATAGAAAATGTGTTAGATGACCTTCCGTTATCACCGAAAGTACTAATGTGGTATCAGCACGACGGTGCCCCACCGTATGTTCGTCGTGACATAACCTGATGGTTAAATAATCATTTTAGACAACGATGGTTTGGCAGAAACGGACCCGTACATTGGCCTGTGAGGTCTCCTGATTTGAACCCCTAGATTTCTTTTTGTGAGGCGCTATTAAACAACTACCACGAACAAATTGATACTGTTGATCAGTTACAAGAAACAGTAATAATGCGTTTCATCAAATTCAAGCAACAACAAATTTTGCGGAAATACGTTTTTCTTTATTAAAAAGATGTCGCACTTGTCATAATTGTGGTCTTTTTGAACATTTATTGAAATATAGCTTTGGTTATCTATCTATGTATCTATTTGTTTTTTATTTATTTTTACGAAAACAGTGCACTCTAGGAAACAACACCATAGTGATTATTTGTAGCAAATTGAAGGTACAATTCGGAAAATTGCGCGTTTCGAAAAAAAACAGTGGCGCACTATTTTTATTTAAAAAATAATGCCACTAATCCCCTGTATCTCCGCCACTGGTGCATGAAAATTCTAAGTAAAGAGTTTTCAATGTGGAAAATACTTAGGTAAATCCACATAGCAAATTTTAGTTCATTCCAGTTGACTGTTTTGAAGATCTTGAAAAAATTGTTTTTTATTTTTAAATTTCAACATCCCGTATCTTTTTAATGAAGCCCTCGATGAAGAAATGTAACTTAGAAGACCCCCCTTAAAATACGGTCCTGTGTATATGTTTCATTTTTGCTCCCGACTTGTGAATCACCCTGTATACAGGGTGACTTCGAAGTTGAGTCATTTATTTTAACAGTGAGTAGATCTGATCAAAAGAAATGCTTTTTTTCCTTTACCATTTTTCTGGTAAAATTAAAGTAACAAAGTTATAGCCCTTTGTAAGTTTGAGTACCGCCCTGTCTCAATAATAATATTAACGTATGTGCTCGTGTTTGGCGACAACGGATATAATCCGCCTTATCGGTTCATCGCATCGGAAACAAAAAAGCGAAAGAATTTGGAACGATGTTTTTACAATTATTTTATTCAGTTGTATACAGTCAGCGTCAGTCGGTAACGCGTGAGTGAATAGTGGTGTCTGTTGCGTGGCTCAAACGAAATCAAAAATGGCACATGTTTACGAAAATGCTGAACTTGTGGACATGATTCTTATTACGCGGCATCACGGATTTATGCGGATCGGTTTTCCAATCGAGTGCAACCAACCCCTCGTGCCTTTGTTAATGTAGTACAAAGGGCTCGTGAATCAGGTGACTTAAGACCTCACAGGGGAGGGCATGCCGGTGCTCCAAGACCGCACGATCAAATACAGGTCCGCACTGAAATACTTATCGGGAGGATACTTTATAAAACAAGGTAACATTTTTTTTATTTTTACACACATGTTTTGGTTTATCTTCCTTCTACAATCATTATCTGAAAATTAATGACTCAACTTCAACTAAAAAGAACAAGTGCACCTTTGAAAAAAATATAAAAAACCAGACTGCAGTAACTGAAATGAACGAAGTTTTAATTGTGCTATCAGGACGAATTAAGTACACCTCAAATGTCAAAATCTGCCAAGTTGTTTGAGCTGTAGCCCCTAAAATAAAAAGGTTAATGCTGAGGTTTGTGTTTAAAATTCGCCATTTCAGTTTTATAAAATTTCCAGTATCACCCTAACTGTCAAGACAACGGTAGAACCACATCGAATGTCAAAATCCACCAAGCTGCAACCCAAAAAATAAAAATGTCAAATTTTCCGCTATTTTGCTTTTATAAAATTTTAGTATACCCAGTGTCACTCGCAGTGCGACGACGAATCCAACAACACCTTATATGTCGAAATCCATATACATACCTACTGTGAAAAACCTCCTTCTGAGACAATTGTGTAAAAAGACCACTATATAACTAAAACGCATTATAATATTAACATTAGAGGGGGTTGGCGATCATTAATACCGCATAAGTAAACGTTAACGTTCGCCTTTTTTGACACCGAAGTCAAAGACTTATACATTGAGGACCAAGTTTGACTGATGGGCGCGAGTTCAATGTGTACGAGAGAGAAGCGCGAGAAGTGTGTAAGGCACATGTGTTAGAAAGAGATAGAAGCCGGCTGGATATCGAAGCTCATCGCCACGTTGCCTAGCAAGGGATTGTACACGCGTTAAGGAATACCTCAGTACCGATTGCCGGGTGGCGGTACAAGTCCGCCAACGGGCCACTTTAGGTCTATTTAGTATCACTAACACCTAAAAAGAAGGTGGTCGACAAGGACCAGTCGACCGAGGCGGTACCACCCGCTAGCTTTTCCCGCATGTTTCCACACCTAAGCTATTCAGTCGGTTATCTTCCAGAACAAAGAAATTAATGATGATGGATCCCTCGAGCACTAAGAACTCCGGACGTAAACTCACTCTCGGAATGTCCGGTGGAGGGTGGGCTCGAGGGAACAACATCGAAGATAAAATTTGTTTTTCGAACGTCTGCGGGATTAACAGCAACATTGATGCTGTTCATCACTACCAGCAATCCAATCGTCCCGCCGTCCTTTTCTTGGCGGAGACAAAAATCTCAGAGTCTGCACCGATTAACCATCTCAACTTCCCAAACTACGAGGTCCACGCAAATCTGAGAAAGAACGAGGGAGTTGTGGCTTTTGTCCGCAGCAGTCTTTCCTGCTCCAGAGATGTTTCTTTGGAATCAGACCGGAAGGACATTCTATGGCTTCGCCTCAACTCCAAACCATCACCCAAATTTATTTGCTGCCTTTATCGCTCTCCCTCGGACCCCAACTGGGATAACCTACTCGAATACATCGCCGTCCAGATCGACTTCCTGAACATCAATCACCCCGCTTCAGAGGTAGTTCTTCTCGGTGATTTCAATGCCCATAATGAGCTTTGGTTGGGCTCAAACAAGACCGACGCAGCAGGTCGTGCAGTCGAAGCGTACGCTCTTACTCAAGTGCTGACCCAGCTGGTGACGAGCCCTACTTTTTTCCCCGCGTCTCGTCACACGCCACTAGCCTGCTGGATCTCTTTCTGACCATGCATCCTGTCCCTTACAGCACTGCTGTCCTGTCCCCCCTGGGTAACTCAGACCACGGTGTTGTGGAGGTTAGGTTTCGGTCAGAACCCGCTGTGGCAGCAGAAACTCGTACAGGCCGCAAAACTTGGCATTACGGACATGCCGACTGAGGGGCTCAGAGCCTTCTTCTCTAGCTTTACTTGGGGAGATGTCTGTTTCCCTGACGTGGATGCGTCGGCTGGTTTAACAAATCGTGTGACACTGCTCGCCAGCAGAAGATCAAAGCACACAGAACCTTCTTACAAAACCCCACCGTAGAGAACAGACAAGCCGACGTCGTGTCCAAAAACAAATATAACAAAGCGGTTCGCAATGCCAAAAACCAGCACTATATAAAAGTTAGGCACAGAGTAATATCGCAGTACAATGGCAGTCGGTCTTTCTGGACGCTGGCCAAGCAGATTGAAAGGAACTTCTCACACAGTAGCCTTCCACCACTTACGTGTCAGGATGGAACTATTGTATTCGACTCAAAGGCCAAGGCGGAAGTGCTAGCCAAGATCTTTGCTGCCAACTCCACCGTGGACGTCCCCCCAACGCCCAAGTGCCGTCAATTAAAACGGTTCCCTACACTATACGGGAGGTAACATTCAGGCATAAGACCCTAAG